TTTTTTGTTTTACATGTTTAAGGATTTGTCTAACATGTACTCAAACTTCTAAACATATAAAACAAAAAATTAGAAAAATCAAAAGAAAAATTTACATTCATGTGCCCTTTTCATTAATTAGGGTATTTTTTTATTAATTTTACACATGTTTTCATATCTAGATTTATTACTTTTTATAGATTTTAAGGTAAAATATTATATTATATTATATTATATTTGAATCTTGTATAAAATTTTGTGTAAAATTAATTACAAAACTATAATAAATAAGATTTAACATATGCTCTTAAGGTATAAGTTAGAGAATCCCTATGTTTAAATATGTAAAAGTGAAAAAAAATTCTCAAAAATATTTTTTTTCCCAAGTCAAATGGTTTTTTTTTTAAGTCAATACCATGTCATTGTCCAATCATCATCTTCTGTTAACGGGCCACAAAAATCAAACGGAAAGATGACATTTTCTAATGTCATCCTTAACAGAAGGGGTGATTTGCAGATTTCATGTAGTGGAGGGGTTGATTTGCCAGTGTTTCCGGTATAGGGGCTGATCTGCCACAACATTGCAGGTACAGGGGCTGAATTGCACCTTCAACCTATTTTGAAGGGCAAAAAGGACAAATCAGCCTTTATACTCATCAAATGGTGACAAATCAGCCCTTGACGTTGGAAACTCTTGAAATCTAACGGTGGGCTTCACCGATGATATGGCGTTGATGTGGAATTTTTAGTATTTTAGGGCCACATGTACCCATTTATTTCTAATCCTTAATTTATTTTCTCTTTCTTCATATTCTTTTCCTTTCCTCTGTTGCTCTCTGTCTCCCTTTAATCTAGTTCTTTTGCTTGTTACAATCTGTTCTTTTTTCTTCAAGTTCTTTTTATTTTTCTTTAGATTCATTCAACCTTTATCCAATTTTATAAACTTTTGTTCTCCAAATTTCATCAGGGGTCATTGAAATTCTTTTTATCTGGTAGCATCCTCCTGGAAAGGAAGAAGAACATAATTGGAAGCAACATGAAAATGAGTTTTAACCTTTCAACATGAAAGTTGCTTTGTGGAGTGCCTATTGAGTGTGATTTTTCTTTAATTTCTCTGTCATTTCTAATTCGACAGGTTTGGGTTGTGTTTTTCATTTGATTTTGTACTAATTCAATGCCGAAATGAGGTTAAGAGAAAAAAATGGAAAAGATGAGGGTGTTTTGGTTCTCTCTTTTCACTTTTATCATTTTTTTTTTCATTTTTTAACAATAATAAAGGAAGAAAAAAGATCCTGTTTGTGCCAGCGGTGTTATATCAGTGCCCAAATTGATAAAAATATTAAATATTAATATAAGGATAATTTTTTAATAATTTGTATATACTATTAAATTAATTAATGTATTTAAAATTATAAATTTAAATAAATAAATAAAATTTTAAAAAAAAATTATCCTAAATCATTTTTCAAAAAAATTTCACCTAGCGCCATATCACCTGTAAAGCCAGCCATAATTCAGTCGCCGTCTAAGTTTAACGAGTCTCTAACGTCATCCCTGTGAAGAGGGCTGATTCGCTACCATAGGTTCGGTCGAGGGGCTGATTTGCGTCTGTTTTTAGTTGAGAGGGTGATTTGCCATCATTCAACGAGTACAGGCCCTGATTTACCCTTTTTGCCATTGTAAAGTGGCAATCTGCCATTTGATTTTCGTTTTTTTTACCAACCCCTCGAGACTTCCCGTTGACCATGCCTTTGGAACAGAGACCGCCGCCGCTGTCTTCCACCGTCCTTCTTCCTCTGATTTTCCTAAACATCAACATCCACCATCGTTTATATTTATCATTTCTCAAAATCCATCATTTTCTACTTTCCTAAATCCCACAGCGGATATTAATTGATGCGAATCATTATAAGAAGAAGGGGGTTTTAAGTGCAATCTCTTTTGTAACCTGTGGGAGGAGTAGAAAGAGAAAAAAATCGAAATAGGAAAAGTAAACTGGAGGAGGAAGATAGACGGCCAAAAAATGTAGAAAGGCGGTACGAAATGACGTTAGTTTTTAAGCGTTTCATGATCTCACAATCTGAGACGTGTCAGCAAATTACTAGTTTGGGATACAACCTCCGTGATATATGCGGAATATTGCAGACTTTCTCCATGATCACAGCCAAAATCCATTGCCTGTATTTTCAAGAATAAAAAGGGCTTATTTAATTTGAAATTTTGAATATTTAAAATTTAAATTAAAAATGTATTAAATATATTTTTTATTATAAATTTATATTAAAAAATAAAAATTAATATTTAATTTATTAATTATTTAATTAAATTTATTTATTTAATATTTATAATAAATTAATATTAATTTTTATTTTTACATATATTTAAAATAAAAAATACTGTTAACATATATCTAATTGCATGGAAACCAAATAAAAAGTAGAAAAGCAAAGAGGAAAGAAACAGAGGACTCTGTTGCCAGCTACTTCTTTGCTTAAGCAGATCCATATATCACTTCAGCGTAAAGTAGAGTTGGTGTTTTGAAATTCAAATTGTACTTAGCTATACACCGTAAAAATATCGGTCATTATTGAGAGTTTTTAATTTTTTATTATAATTAATGTTTTGTAATTTGGTATGGTAAAAATTACAAAACACTTGTTTTTTTCTAAATTAACCCGTAAAATTACTGCCTAGAAGAAGTGATACATAGTAATACAAATATTATATACAAAACAAGCAGACTTTTTCTATAATTGGTCGATCAGGCACGCTATGGGATCATCATAGAAACCGTAATACTGCGGGCATAACAATTCCCCATCAGAGTCTGGATCGACCACAGGGACCAAAGGCAAAGACTCACACTCAGTTGCTATGTGAAAATTGTCTGCCAAGAACGGTTCTGTCCAAAAATCCCCACTGTGTGCCTCGCATTCGCCTAACCAAGCGGTAATGCCTTCACCGAAACCCATGTCCAAGTCATCACTGGTTGTGATTGCATTGTCAGAAGTAGAAGATTGCTGATCTATTGAGGTTGGTTGCTGGGAGGATACAAAGCTTTCGCCTAACAAAGCAGTAAACTCTTGATCGTAGATCAGGTCGCGGTCTTCACTTTTTGCGATTGCAATTGCAGACGTAGAGGATTGCTGATCTGTTGAGGTTGGTTGCGGGGAGGATACCAAGCTTTCAAAAATGGGAGGAGTTATGGGACTTCCGTTCAGATGATTATTTGTACTTGTTTCTTTCTCTTTGGTATTTGTTTTACTTTGAGATTTTTCTTTTCCTTGATCATCGGGGATTGGCTTTTGTTTCAAGCGTTTCTTAAGTGTTGTGTGCCAGTAGTTCTTTATCTCATTGTCAGTTCTCCCCGGTAACTTGGCAGCAATGGCAGACCATCTGAAATACAAAAATTAAGAGTACTATTAGACCTTTTTAAGTTCTAACTCTGGTAGTAAAATTGTTTGCGTTATTAACCATAGGTTTAAGATTTAATTTCAAGATTAAACATATATGATTAGACTTTAACTGCAAAAAGCTTAGAAAATGACATGTTCTAATCAGCACAGTACTTACTTATTTCCTAGCGACTCATGTAGTTTAAGAATGGTTTCTTCTTCTTCCCTTGTGTAATTCCCTCTTTTGATATTTGGTCTCAAGTAATTCATCCATCGCAACCTGCAACTTTTCCCACACCTTGATAGACCTGAAACGACAAAATTATTAACTCTAACAGCACCAAAATAATCCCCACAAACTGAAATGCAGAATGAAAGAAGAAAATCTTGTAACAATGAAAATCCAACCTGAAATTCATCGAAATATTGGAAATCAAATTGAAATAGCTAAAACTCATTAGCAAGATGAATCCATATGGACGGAATTTACCTGCAAATTTAGGAAGTTGGCGCCAATTCCAGCAGCCATATCTAGTAACATAAGCCATAAGCTTTCTATCTTCTTCCGCCGTCCATGTACCTTTCCTCAGACCACTTTTGTCACAAATGGGTGTCCTCACCATTCTCTCCTCAAACTCTCTCTGTTCTTCACTCTTCTCTCAGCTAAACTTTCTGGGTAATTAGATACCAAATCATGACATGGGTTTAGACCGGTATTTATACCATAACCTGACTTGGACCAAAACGTGTAACACGTTTCATTTAATATTAGAAAATCCTCAATTTTCTCGATTTTATGCTTTTTAAAAAGGATGGTTTGAAGTTAGAACACGAATAGGACCATGTTTCAAAAGCGGTAGGGTCCAACGTTCCATCTAGGAAAATTCACACCACATATGTCGCTATTGAGTACACTAGAGTGTTGGAACGTGAAGACTTGTCTTCGAGGAAACAAAGGATGCCCAATGAACGAAAAGTCCGTCAGCAAAATTAATTCTTGTGAACACGTTTTTTCTGGCAGATTATTTTCAAGGCAATTGAATCCGATGAGATAACCGTCCATCTATTATTTTATCAGCCAGATATCAGATAGATAAGAACAGATATTAGACTTGATTTTAGCTGAAACATTGAGAAACGTATCATCCTTGTTAATTGTTGTCCTAATTATTGTGGATGGGCATTCACTATGTTTAGTAGACAATAATTGGTACAGTAGGTCATAATTGTATGAGTTTTGCTTATTATTTATCTTCAACTTCCATTTCAAAAATATTCAAGGGAAATTCTATTGAGGGGCGAAATTATTTTTTTCAAAGAATTTGGGTCTTCAAATAAAAACCAATTTATTTTCCTACGAATTTTCATTTTTCTTTTTTTTTATTGGAAATGAATATTCATTTACAAATTTGTTAATTTGACTTATGAAACTTACTCCTAGTCAGATCTCACCTTTTTTAAATAAAGGTGATTGATTTAATTATTCTATTTTTTATTTTAATAAGGCATTAAAATTTAAAATATCAATTTTACCTTTATTCATAAAGAGATAAAAAATGAGTTAGGATATTTTCCTTTAATTATAAGTAAGGATAACACTATTAGAAAAAGTTTTATTTCGAATAGAATATTTCAAACAATAAAATATCTTGACCGAAAAAAAAAAAAAATCAGTCAAGCATTTTGATCGAAATATGCTTTAACATGATTCAAAGGTATTCAATGTAATAATTCAGTCTAAAATTATTTAGGTTAAACATATTGACCAAAATAAAAAAGTACCAATTGGTGTCATCATTAATTCAGTCAAATATTTTATCTGAATTATCTTGATAATAAAATAGTAAACATTTTGGTCATAAATTTTGAATGAATTAATTAAGTAATTTTTTGTTTCAATTTAATTATGTTTTTTGGTAAAAAATTTTGATTGAAAAAAATTGCATTAGTATAGTGCTTTCTTCCCACCCCCCTCTCTCTCTCACTATATATATAAATATATAAATTTTATATGAAATCATTGCAGACAAGATACTTGACTGAAATAACTACCTCTTTTTTTAAAAAAAAATTGTATTAGTTTAGCACTTTCTTTCCTAAATTTTTTAATATTTTTTTATTAAATTATTTCGGATAAGATGCTTGACTGAAATTATATTGTTTGGCTCCATAAATCAAGTGAAATATTTTGAATTTTTTGCCAAAATTATTTTGGTCAAAATTATTGTCTGAAATTAGATGGATATATATATATATATGGCTCTAAAATCATGTTAAATGTACCAAAACTATTTTGGTCAAAATTATTGTCCAATATAGATGAAGTACTATAAAAACCAAAGTTGTCAATATCGTACTGGCATATATATATATATATATATATCGGTTTTGCTACTAGAACAGTACATCTTGGATACTGAAATTTTTCACGTATCATTTCGGATTTATTGCTATAAATAATATTTTTATAAATTAAATGTCAAAATTTAAAATAATGATAAGATAAACTAATGACTAAAACCATCACTCCTATAAATTGAAAACAAATTTAAAATGGTCAACTTTATAAAACATCTATAAATTTTTTTTTAACATTAAGATAATATTAAAAAGCATAATAGTGTTTTAAGTTTAATATTATATAATTCGCAATACAAAATACTTCCACAGGGGAAGAAATCATGTCTTCTAAGTATAACAAGAATGTATAAAGACAAACCAAAACATTACTGAAAAAAGAGAGCACTAACTAGTAAATATGAAATTATCAAAAGGGACTAAAAATTCACATTTTTAGTCCCTCAACTTCTAGTATATGCATATTTTTCATCCCTTAACTTTAAGTTAAGGGACTAAAAAAGTCAAGGGACTAAAAATATGCATGTTTAGACAAACTCAATGGAGTAATTGATAGAAGGACTAAAAAATATATTTTTCATAGTTCATGGACTAAAAAAGTATATAAAAAAGTTAAAAGATGAAAATTATGAAAAACATTAACGTTGAGGACCAAAATGGAATTTACCCTTTTTAAATTTGAATTGATTTGTACCAGGAAATTTTTGATGTACTAGCTAGTAAGCTGAAATATTGGCCAGTACATCAGAATTTGATCGAAACGAACGAAATTAAACTATATATTGTTTCGACTTAATGAAAAAACTAGTATGTATTGACCATACCAGCCGATATGGTACGGTATTAATAACATTGATAAAAACACTACAAGCACTTTAAACTATATTTTACTTATTTCCTTCTTTTTTTTATTTTTGCTTTTCCCTTCATGCCACCTCCCACGCTCATCTTTTTCATCTTTCTCTTCCTTTTAATTACTTCCCCTCCTCATTTCTCTTTACTTCCATCATTTTCTTTCATTTCTTCCTTTTTCTCATCTTCTCTTTTCTTCACTTTCCCTTTTTCTTTCAATCATTCCCCTCATCCTTTCTTCCATTTTCTCACATTCTCTTTTCCTCATACATTCCTTTAATTTCATCTCCTTTAATTTCTTTCATTTTCTATCTTCGTTTATTTTTAATCTTATTAGTTTATTTCTTTTACAATTTACAAGTTTGTTTCAATTAATATTGATATCAATTTCATTTTTTGCAGGATTTTATAATAGAAATTAAAGGCATTTTAAGGAGACATCTCATTTGGTACTTTTATTTATTTTTTATTTTTTATATTTCATTAAAATTTTATAATTTTTTCTTTTTCATTAAGTTTCCCATTTAGTTTGTAATTTGTGATTAACTCTTTCTTGGTGTTAAGGGATGGAGAAACTAAAAAAAAAAAAAAAAAAAAAGTAAGTAACTCTCCACCATTTTGCTTAAATTTAAATATTTTTATAGAATTTTGATTTTTGTTTTATAATATTCAATTTAAAATTTTGATGTATTTGGATTTGGATAAAATAAATAGATTTTGAAATATTAATTAAATGTGTTTTGTAATTATATAAAAATAGTAATTATATGTATATACTATAATTACAAAAATATATTAATTTTTTTTGAATTTGAAAATAATATTTTGATCAAATATTTTGACCGAATTAGTCTAAAATAAAAGATTTTTTAATAACATTTTTTGTCAATTTTTTTTTACTAAAATTGTCCAACATTTTTTTATCAAGATAAAATTTTGTTTGAATTATTATTTTGTACATAAATATTCGAATTAACAATTCAGTCAAGCAATTTGACTAAATTACTTCTTGTTCGGTCAAAAATCCTATTTATTTGATCAAGCCTTGATCAAATAAACCCTTATTTCTAGTAGTGCGAAATTGACAAAATAAATTCAAATTATTATAATAAATAATTTTTTTTAATAATTATAAATGAATAAAATGAAATAACTAAATTTACCTGACAAAGTACAAAGGGATTCAAGTTCAAGCCCTATTTGATAGTGTACTAATCTATCAACTAGTTCATCCATTTACTAATGACATGTTGGTCCAAGTGGAAGAAACTTGGTTCCTCTTAAGCAAGATCTTGAGTTTGAGTATTGTGAATAGAGAAACAGATGCTAAGAGAGTTTCTCCCTTTATGGGATCCGACGCAACTTGATTCTAGATTAGTCGAGATCCAATGAAGTTATTGGATACCGAGAGGTTAATACCAAAAAAAAAAAAAAAAACTAGTTCACCCATTTTGTGAACCATCAACCCACCCTTAAGCACAACATTTTAGTTGTTGAAGCAAGTCTTATTAGGCCATTCCACCTTATCCTAGGCACTAAGGTTAAGTTGTCATCCCTCTAACTCAGGAGACCTAGTAGTTTGAACATTCTTTGCAGGGCAAAAAAGTGACAAACAGCTCTAGAGAAAATTATTAATCTAGGAACAAAATAAAGGACTTTCTTCCCTTTCCCTCCCTCCAACCTTTTTAGTAACTAAATAGAGACATTATCTTCCCTCCTCTCCTTTACCCTCTATACAAACCAAACATACCCTAAGGACCTAACTAACCTTAAATGAAAGATATATAAAATAGGGACCAAAATTAAAACCCTAACACAATGAAGGAACTAAAATGTAATTATTTATTTAACCATCTTCACCTCAAACTCTATTGCATGCCCACATACCCTTAAATGCTTAATTAATTCAAGTTTTAGTAATGGTTAATCATGACAACTATATACTAATCACACTCACACTTCCATTTAATGTGATTCGAACATCACATCTAGCCTTATTGAGCCACCAAGGACACCATCTAGGTTTCCTAGTATATTCTCTCATCCCCTTTGTCTAACCCTTGTCTCCCCAATCTTGGCCATAAGCCTTAATTGGCTCTTTCTTCCACCCAAACTCCTCACCACCTTGTGAAACCATGGCAATAGTCTTCACTTTTATGCAAAACCCTCCAATGAACCTCCATTGCACTACTCTAACCAAAAGTAGCCCTAGACTAGTTCCTTGCTGTTTAACACCCCATGCCCCAATTACAAGCCTTCCTCCTCAAATTTCTAGACTTCCAATCATCCCAAGAGCCCTCAAACCACAACCCACCTTCACACCCATCAACTCACAAATCATTATTTGACACCAGTGTCTGCCCACCAAACCTAGAATAAGTTACAATTAAACCCAAAACAAAGCACACCTCAACCACAAGATGCCATTGTAAAAAATGAGAAAGAAAGAGCAAATGAGAAGACAAGGGAAAGAGACCCTCG